GTCCTGTTACTGCACCAAGCTCAATTTCAGTGAGCTCTCTCCAACAGCACATTCTTTCGGGAATCTTTGTAAAGACAGACGGCATGCTAGCTGCTTTAATTCAACAGTACAGACTTACTCCCAATGCTTTTGTCCATGTAGTGTAACCTTAAAGGCTTCTACAGCTGCGTGCTGTAATTTCCCAGCTCCCTCTCTTATATTTCCTGTCTAACTCTGGAAAAAAGGCAGAAAATGTTTAATAAAAGAGCAACAATTATACTAAAATGCCCTGAAATACTGCAGAACTGAAACTGTAAGCTGGATGTCTCATTTTGGAATGAATATGCTGTTCTACTTGAATATCAGCTGTAAGATGTACGTTATTTCCTTGAAGTATGGTAGCTTAAAAGAATGTCTGGTGTTCTGAAAAAATTAAAAATATCTGCAAGTTATGTGTGGTTGTTGAGTCACTGCGGCGTCTGAGCAGTCAGGTGGTTTGGCTGCACCATCTTGAGGAAGATGAGAGGCGCTTTGGGTGCAGGATGAAGTGGAGGAAGGCTCATCTGTCTGTTTACCCTGCAGGCACCAGGTGATCTGTCTTTTCCAGCTCGTCTGTTTTAAAGGAGAAAAAAATGTAGAATCAAATTTAACCGTTTATTTGGTGTAGATATTTACGTGTACACACACGAAACCTGCATAAAACTTGCTCTTGTGATAATATTTGTTCAGTTCAGCTTGGAGTATTAACACTAAATTTAACTAACTGACATGATTTTATGTGTCACTGACTGTCAACAGCTCCTGTGGATTACGTACTACAGAAGTCAATAAAAAAAATAATTTTCTTAAAGAAATAATCGACACAAATAAATATCAGCATTTAGAAGACATCATACTTCTTGGGGTAAATAAAGTATATTTAAAAAAAATTAAGGGAATGCTCGATCATCACAGTGTGACACAGAATCAGTTAAACTTCAGGGATACCAGTGTGTCCAGTTAGGAAGCAGAAACCACTGTGAATCCTCCTGGTTTGGTACAAATGAAAGCAACTCCATGAGGATGCCGTGACCTCCTGATGTCCTTCAGCGGGACCTGAAGGAACATCATCCAGCAGTCCCGGGTTTACAGTGGGTCAGTAATGGCCTGAGCAGGCATATCGTTGATGCAGGCCAGTCAAGCTGCAGGGTGCTAGACTGTGAGAACAGGACATCAGGGCCCCGTGGACTGCATTTCTGGCAGTTTGATGAAAAATCTGCCCGTGAACAGCCCACTGGAGGTCATTCTGTGGGGCTGTGGCAGTGCTGTCCCACTTCAGACAATAGTCTGCCCTTCTACTGCCCTGTCCAGCTCTCCTTGTGCGAAGGCCCATCTCCTGGTATTTCCTTCAGTCTTGAAACTGTATTGAGAGAGACAGCAAAACCTCTGACCACATCTTGAAGGAGTTTGACTACATGTGTAGGTACTGTCTCATGCTACCACTAGTGACAAGGACATGAAATTATAAAGTAGAGGAAAAACTAGAGAAAATCCCCTACAAAAACATCCCCTTATTGTCTTATTGTTGCTGCTATCTAACTGGACAGACTGCTGTCCCTGAAGATTAACGGAAACTGTAACATCCATCAAACGTACACGCTGCCCCGCTTCCCATCCTGCTGCCCGACACTGCTCTGATCTGTAAAGGCCACGAGGAGCTGATCAGTCCGGTCTTGTCTCCATAGTCCTTCCTCGGCCCCTCTCCTCTTCTTCCTCAGTCTGTATGTGACAGTTTGCAGCAGTGCATTCAGGCTGGACAAGGTGATGTCAGGAAGCTGAACCTCAGCCGATGTCTGCACAGAAAAGAACAAACTCAAAATATGGGACAATCTCTGAAGCTGTGGGGCTGGAGGGACAAAGGATAAAAATGTTGTGCAGTCCCATATAAAGACAGGCATATGCTCATGCTAAATAAGCCCTGACTGGAAGCCTACATTTCCCACAATCCAATCTTTAAGCTGCCAACTTCTTTTAGACATTGTCCCAGCTTGCTACATGCTGCGTTTCTTTTCTGATGCTCAACATCTACTATTTCTACAGGCTGAGAGGTGCTCCCCCTCAACCCTTCACCTGTGCTAAATCAGTAGACTGCCTCTAATGTTTAATACACTTCCATCAAGGACAGGAACCACTATGTTCAGAAAATGTCCCAGTGAATGGATCTGAAACTAACTCACACTCTTGGAGAACAGGGGATTGTCTATCCAGGGCCTGATGTCTGAAGCCTGCGCTGTAACTGCTCCACTGCCTCCAAAGCCTTCTGCTCCAAGCTTTGCAGAGCTGGTTGTTGCTTGTTGATGCACAGTGATGGCAGGCAGAGGAGTGAGAAAGCCTGAGCTCTGATCAAATGGTTTTAGTTCGCTTATAGGCGGCGGCAGAAATGGAGAAGTCAGTGAGAGTCTTGCTTTGGTTGTTCTCTCTGAGGTTAATCCTGACTGGAGCTCAATTGCGTTTTGTTTCTGTTCCACTAGTTTGCTGACAGATGGGTCTCTGCTGCTGGTTTCTGTTTCCTGTCGACTCATGGAGGTGTTGCTTTCTTCTTTCTCATCTTCCTCCTCCTGCTCAGTCTCCTTAGCCTAGGTTAAAACCGGCAAAGATCGTCTATGAGAAAGATGCAAAATGACCCACTAAGGAGACGTTTAAAAACAGCAACAACATCAAACCATTTTCTTAGAAATAAATCTGAAAGCTTTTTTTCAGCTGCTTTCAAATGTCTTTGTTAAGAATCATATGCAATTAAAATTATAACCTTTAGGTTAAAGTGAATGCTTCAGTTTTAAACAGATACTCACTGGACAATGATAAATTTTGCTTATTTCTACACTCTATTGCATCAACGAATGTTTTAGTAATAGTCAAAAATAAAATGTTTCCAAACAAATTCATGGTCCATGTTTTATCATTCATCCTGAAGTCTTGTGTTATGAAGGATTTGTCCTCCAAATGTATTGTATTCATTTATAGTCATGTGAGACTACAAACTATGGACGGAGTGAGTGCTCTCTGTGTTTTCCTCTCTTTGTTTGTGGAAAAGACAACAGCCTACTGTCAAGCTAGCAGTCAGCAGCTAGCTGCTCAGCTGATAATCTGTCCGGTTTTTATATTTCTTGTGTCAACTGTATTGATTTACTTTGTTCTCGATCTGTAAAGATACAGACAGTGGGATCTTTCCGCCTATTTTTTCTGGAATAAGATGGTCGTTTTGACAAATAGCAATGAAGAACAGGATTATATGTGAGTAAAAAAAAACAAAAATACGAGTCTGTTTCGTTAGCCGGCTGGCTAGTTATTAGCCGGTAAAATAAGTCATATTAACATAAATAGCTAGGCTTATTTTCAGGAGTCGTTGCTTGTATTAGTTGTATTGCAACGTTTCCTGCACATAAAAATTTCAATACACTCTGTAGTTGGTTTTGGTTATTTAAGAGTTAAAGGGCAATTTAAACACTTGTCCTTGTTAGCCTTTTAGCACCTAACTAGCCTTCCTGTAGCGGAGTCTAAAGGTGAGAGGCGGTTCTAATGTTCAAAATCCTGTTTTAAGCCAGAAATCGCAACACCGACCATAATAACTAATACGCGTTTTTAAGGTTGCATTGAAACATGTTTCGTTAGGTCTTACTTATTAAACTAAGGTTTGGATGCCAGAGGGAGAGAATGGGCGAACCTAAATAGTCCAGGCACAGATTACATCATATTATGTTGCTAATAACCTGCAGAGCTCAGGCTAAAAATGGCATCAGCATGTTGACAACTGAGCTCACAGGAAGAAGCTCCAGCAGAGGCGGTCCACACAGACACCCACTGACCTACATCTGAAGCTGCTGTGGGATGCTCTGCTCTGTTCTGACCCAGTTACACAGAGAAACCAGAGGAGGGAAAAATCTGCAGTTTTCATGGGTGTATTTTCAGTTTTAGTAGGATAAATGTCATCTATATGCTTTCATCTTATTTATTCCTCAGATAAGGTGATTACATGGCCATCCATGTAAATATGCGTATTTCAATAGATTTTTACTACAGCTGTTATTACATGTCGTTTCATGGTGAAATTATTATTGTGCACCTGTACCAGGTGTTGTGCAGGAAAGGCTGTAACACAATAAATAAGTAAATAGTCAGTTATATGTGTTTATCCTGCTAAGGGCTTCTGTGAACCGGGCCTGTTACAGGGTACACCTTGCTTTTACTTTCACATCTGAGCATTTGAATAGGTTTAAATAAAGCAGCTTAAGGAACAAGTAGGCTGACTTGATTCCCTTGAAATTCCAACAACTCAATCAGATTTTGAGATTGGAAGCTGGAAATTCTTCTGAAAGATATATCAACTCAAACTCACTAAACTGATCCACTGTGCTCTGTTTTTCCAGCCTGGTAGAGGAGCGTAAATGCACCTCATTGCCTAGCTCTCCTGCCAAGCGAGTGTCACCCACCAAAAAGAAACAGTTCTATATCAACCAAGCCATCCGCAACTCTGACCTCACACCCAGGGCCAAAGGCAAGAAGAGCCTCCGCCGACAGGAGAACAGTAAGCTCTCATTTTACGTAAATTAAAAGAACGGCGTCAGAGACTGCAGGCTGAGCAATGCTGGGAAAGCATTGAAAGGATTACTTTGGGGAAGAGTCTCTGTGTGCAAGTTCAAAATGTTTTATAGGATGTATTTGAGGCTCCCGAGGCTGCTGGGCAACATTTTTACAAAGAATTCTGACGTTAGTGGCTTCAATACCTTAGAGGATGAGAAAAACGTTTACATTAGTTATAAAGTCATAAACCTGTCATTGCTTTGCTCATTTATCTCTCTCTAATCTTCTCCTTTGAAAATTAGCACGCTACCTTGCTAATCTCCTTGAGAAAGATGAGTGCTCCAAAGACGATCTGGAGGTTTGCAGCAACCCAGCCATCCCATCCATCTTCTATGAAGTCTGCACCAATGGAAACTATGTAGAGGTACACAAATTAGTGGCATTTGTTGCAAAAGTGCGAACGGCTTAAGAAAAGATTTATAATTTCACCGTGTCATGTTCTCAAATTTTATGTACTGTGTGCGCAAATATTTACCGGAGAGGTCCCACAGGAAACTGCCGCTCAAAAACCGTGTTTGTGTGTCCAAAGAAATGTAAACTGTGTGGTTTGGCTTGTGCGAGGTCTCACAGGGCACGGGGTTTTGAAGACCACCTAGAAAGATCAGGAACGCTGACTAATGTCATTTCTTGTCTTGTTGTTGTTTTAGCCGTGGAACGACTTCATGAATTGCTCTGGTGAGGAGCAGGAGAGGCTGCTCTCTCTGTTGGAGCTGGAGGAGGCCAAGAAGAAAAACACCAACCAGCTCCTCAAAGACCAGAGGAATGGTAAGTCTCACCCTTTGAGCCTTTAAAGTGAAGCTGTTTGTCTGACTTTGTCGTCTCTCTCTGCAGTAAATCCTGCCTTCACTGCTCAGGACTGCTTCCAGAGAATTGATCGCAGGTTGCGAGCAACTCTGAGGCGGAAACAAATCCCCATGGTGAGTGTCTTCTCTGCTTCAAATCTCTCACTGTTTGGTCAGTGATTGCATTACTCATGTATTTGAAGTCGTTGTCTTTATAGTAAGTAGGGGTGGGCGGTATAAACGGTATATTAATTTGGCCAACGGTAGAGATTTTGACTATACCGCTCTACCGCGATAGCACATTTTGTTGGTGTCAACAAGCTGCGCCTGTTTTGGTCAGTAAGCACAACCAGAATTCATACATAAGGCACACTGTCGATTTTTGAGAAAATTAAAGGATTTTAAGTGTGCCTTATAGTGTGTAAAATACGTTATACAGAAGAAAATAATATATCGTGATATATATCATTACCGCACATGCTTCAAATTATACCGTGATATGGATTTTTAGGCCATATCGCCCAGCCCCAATCCGGTTGTTCAGT